CCCTTTGTTCCACCTCCCGCTAGCAAAGTGGCAGGCAGTTCCACGGGTCAGTCGAGGAGGAGGAGGCTTCCTCGGGGCTCTCCTGAGGGTTGTGAGGGGAGGGCAAAGCCTATATTATGTGTGGGAAGGAAGGAAGGAGGGAAGGAAAGAGGGATTTCTGATGCTGTCTGCCAGCTTCCCACAAGCAAAGTCAGTGGGGAAGCCAGCAGCAAGTCATAAGTCGCTCACATTCCCCCTGCTTTTTTGCCCTTGGTCATTCTGTTTCTCTGTTTAGTAAGGAAATATCTCTGAAATGATGACCCAATGGGTCATGGGTTGTTTAGTTATACAACACTGTTCCAGCTTACATACAAGTTTTACTTAAGGACAGACCTTGGGAACAGAATTTGTTCTTAAACTGGAGACTACCTGTAATTGAACTGCAATCCTATCTGGTTTAAGATTCCATCTCAGGAATCCTTCCTTTTAATCCAAGCAAAACTATAGATAAATGTCTAATAGAAGGTTGCCTGAAAATGGTATGAATGATAAGGTAGGACGTGGTTTTCTAACAAATGGGTTTGTATATTGCACTGAACCAAAATGTCATTGCTTGGGTTTTGGATCAGTGTGCTGTGCAAACCCCGCCATTATGGTTTAGAAACGTGTGAATCCAGTTCATTATGTTTCTCCAAGAAAGCATGATGGAACGGGTGGAACCTTTACAGAGGGAGATCCAAACTTGAAATAAGGAGAAATTTCCTGACTGTGAGAACTATTTCGCAGTGGAACAGCCTGCTTCCTGGAGTTGTGGGTGGGGCTCCATCACTGGAAGTTTTCAAGTAAAGGTTGGGCAGCCCTTTGTCTGGGGTAGCATGAGTTGAACTGGAACCTCTCCAAGATTCCTTCCAATCCTGTGACTCCATGGCTGCATACTGCTATACGTTTAGGGCAACATAAAGTCAATAAGTCAGATCACTGAACTTTGTAATATTTACATTGGCTGGGAAGGTCCTCTGGAGTTTCAAGCATACCTTGTGATATAGCAATGGAATGGGAGAGATTTTAATAAAGCAGGCAGTGTTCTACTTCTGCTACTCTGAATGACGACTTCTTCCTATCTGGACAAAAAAAAATCTGCGCCAAATAGTGGTTGTAATTTCCCTTTGCCATTGTTCTCTTGGTACCTATGTGGGAACTGCTGTGTGGTCTATGTCAGTGTTTCTCACCCTCAGCAACTTTAAGGTATATGGACTTCAACTCCCAGAATTCCCCAGCCAGCATGCTGGCTGGGGAATTCTGGAAAAGCAAGATACCAACTCAAAATACA